TCTCTTCTCACAGCATTCACTTATATGCACCATACATTTCTGACACGTTTTCCTGTTGTACCAAGTTCTCTCATACCTGAGCACCTTTGCCCGACCTTTCATCCTGCTCCCTTCCCAGCTCTACACTTACCCCCTCATCTGACTAACTGTCTTTTGGTCCTTTAAGATTGAATTCAGGAGTACCTGGGAGGCTGTCAGTTAAGCATCCACCTTCAGCTCAGGTCATGATCCCAAAGTCCTGGAATTGAGCCCACATTAGGCTCCCTGCTCAGCGGAGAGCTCGCTTCTCCCTTTCCCGTTCCTCCTGCTTGTGTTCTCTCTCTCTCTCTGTCAAATAAATAAATACAATTAAAAAACAAAAAAGACTGAATTCAAAAGTCTTATTCTCTGGTACTGAAATATATGGCACATAATGATGACTTTTTTTTTTAAGATTTATTTATTTTAGAGAGAATGCACGTGAGCAGGGGATGGAGCAAAGGGAGAGGATCCTTAAGCTGATTCCTCCCTGAGCACAGAGCCCCAAGGTTGGGCTCAATCCTGAGATCATGACTAGAGCCAAAATCAAGAGTTGGCCACTTAACCGACTGAGCTACCCAGACATCCCTCCTGATGATTTCTGTATATTAATTTTGAACTCTGCTACCTCTGTGAATTTGTATATTTTTGTACAGATTTTGTTTGATTTTCTGGATATAAAATCAGATCATGTGAGAGCAGTAATATTTGACCTACTCTTTCACAGGTTATATGTTTGTAATTTCTTTATCTTCTTTAATTGCATTCCTCTACCACCCTCAGGACAATGTCAAGTAATAGCCATGTTAATGGATATTTCTTAATTTCCTCAAAATGCTACAGATTGAATAAACATCTCTTATAAGCCTTAAAAAAATTAAAAAAAAAAAAGCCTTCTCCTCTGAGAACTTATGTCTACATTACCTGCCCTTTATGCATGAAAGGAAAAGGGGACCAGGTGAGGTACCTTTCTTCTGTGCATATTCCTGTAATATTTTGTGTATACTTTTGTTAGTGTTCTTATTGTAGTACATTTGCACTGCTTCTCAAACCTTTCCAGATCCAGTGGAATAGGAAATTGTATTGGACTTACATATAGCCTCCTGAAATTTTATATTAATATCACATCTAGTATCTTAGCCTTCAAAAATTATATAAAATGTACATTTGATTCCATAGAAAGGCTATAGTTGACCTAATATAAAAATATTTTAGTTTTATTTGTCCTGGAATAAAATTTTTTTTTGTCCTGGAATAAAATTGATCTTTGTCAAAGATGATAATGTTTATTGTGAAATTTCAGGTTTTCTCTGTAAGCTCCCCAGTTTTGTTCTCCAGACATCTGCCTAACCCAAGTTTGATAAATAGTAAGCACTTTGATGTCAGGAACTAGGTCTTCTATCTCTGGAATCCCAGCATTAAATATAGTATCTAATACACAGTAGATGTTCAGTATTTATTGAAAATAAATAATGAATGAACAAAAGTTCAGTTTTGGAATAATAGTGTTAAGTGTTAGCATCGTTAAACATTTTAATTTTGGATATTTTTCTCATAAAAAATATGACTAATGACACTGGGAAAGTCATGCATTTTAAAAATAGTTTTCTGGCCTATACAATTTATCAAAACCTTAAAAAGAAACCTTTTATAGTTAAAATATACGGAAAGATCACATTGTAAATATTCAGCTATTCAGCGCAATGAATTTTCACACAATCAGCAATTTCACATAATACACACATATCAAAAACCAGAACAAGAACCTGCCCCTCAGGACTTCCATGCTCTCATTGTGTCACTACAGCCCTTTTTAACAGCATATGTTCGTTCTGCAAAATCATTTTATATTTGAGTACAATTTAAAACAAGTAAACTGATTGAATATTTTTTATTCCTATGACAAGTTAATGATTTAGTGATCATTACTAGTAGCCAACATTACAAAATGGAAAAAAATAATTTTAAGTAATAGTAATAAAAACTATTTTCATTAGTTTGCATTAGCATTAACCAGAAAATGTAATCAAAATTATTTGCAGTGCCCATACTCTTGTCTACTCTTCAACACAAAAATGATGTTAATAATAAACATTAAATAATAATTTTAGTTTTTGCATTAAATAATAATGAGCAGTAAATTCTTTTAAACTTTTATGCCTAATTGTCAAATTGCCCTGATTTTTGTCTTTTATTTGTTTAGAGAAGTAGTTCTCAATGGAGGGGGAGCCCAATTTTGTCTCCCAAGGGACAGGCACCTGGCACGATCTAGGGCCATTTTTGCTGGTCAGAACTAGAGGGTGCTACTACTGACACCTAGTGGGTAAAAGCCTGGGTTGCTGCTAAACTTAATACACAGAGCAGCCCCCACAAAAAATAATTATCTGGCCCAAAATGTCAGTAGTACCAAAGTTGAGAGCAATATTTTCTAAAGAATGAGTGGGTTGTGTTTGGTGTAGATTCATTCCAACGGGGTATAGCAGCATACTAATAAAGTACAAGGTATTAAGACTTTAGTTTCCCTTGGTATTAGCTCATATCTGTTTATTTTATTCACCTCAGACCCAGACCCCAAACAGATGTCTTGAACATTTTGTTAATGATTATAAGAAGAATGAGATGACGTAGTGTAGAAGGATAAATCCATCACCACTTTTGGCAAAAGTCTCAAATCCAGCTCTCTTACAAAATTTTCTTGCCGTCTGTTGGAGGTGTTAAATAGACAATCTAGTAGCTCTTCACAGACATTCATGTATACCCACACAGCTGTACCCCGTTCCTTTCTTCCAGTGATTATGGAAGGTTAGAACCACTGGAGTGCAGGGCGCCTAGGTACTCAGTCCATTAAGCGGCTTACTCTTGAGTTTGGCTCAGGTCGTGAGATCAAGTCCCCCTCAAGGTCTGCACTCAGAGTGGAGTCTGCTTAAGATTCTCTCTCTCCCTCCCCCCTCCCTCTGCTCGCTCATTCTCTCTCTCTCTCTCTCTCTCTCTCTCTCTCTCTCTCTCTAAAATAAACAAGTCTTAGAAACACTGGAGTGCACATAAATGCCAGTAACAAAGTTTGAGACTAATGTCTAATTAGGTTGTTTCTCATGGTGGTTTTTTAGGGGGTAGTTCTGTGTGTATTTCAGTGTCCCCTTGTGAGCTTATTCTGATCTTGACAAGTTGATCTCTCCTGAGCAAAGAGTCACTTGAGGATGGTCTTAAAACAGATGTTGTGCAAGAAAGAATTAATGACAATATATACCAGTTCTGACTTTATAATAAAATATTTCTCTTAAAGTATTACCTCAGAGAACAAACCCAGATTTATAAGTTGGAATTATAAATCTACAAGTCCTTAAATTTAATGAAGAAGATTAGCTTAGAATTTGGCATTTGATTGCCCTTATTTAATTGTGAAAGCAGATACAAATGAAAACAATTGTATGAAGAAAATTAGGGACATTTTGAATAAGATAATCTGTTTTTTATGTTGTAGCTTTTTTGTTTTGTGGAGCATGGGTTCTTTAGTATTTTTTGTCAACCTAAGAAGAGGTAAAATAGTTCATAGATCTCTAGGCCTTTTCCAGTTTTTAAAGAATATAATATATTTGATGTTTGGGAGGATGCATTAGCTCTCGGGTCAGGTCTAGGTGTAATTCTGCCAGTTATGAACTGGTTGGCCTTGGGCTGTAAACTCTTATGGGCTTCCTTTACCACCCTAAAAGAAGGGACAATACTTAATGATAGAGTCACAAGAATTAAATAAGATAGTCATGTAAAAGAACGACCAACAAGGGGATCCCTGGGTGGCTCAGCGGTTTAGCGCCTGCCTTTGGCTAAGGATGTGATCCTGGAGACCCGGGATCGAGTCCCTCATCGGGCTCCCTGCATGGAGCCTGCTTCTCCTTCTGCCTGTGTCTCTGCCTCTCTCTCTCTGTGTATGTGTGTGTGTCTCTCATAAATAAATAAATAAATAAATAAATAAATAAATAAATAAATAAATAAATAAATAAATAAAAAAAATCTTAAAAAAAAGCGACCAACAAGAGGGAAGGATAAATATTCACTGGAGTTATAGGTTCATTTGCAAGTGGATTATAGTGGTCAAGAGCATGGGTTTTGGAGTCAGAGAGCCAGGGTTTAGACTCTAGCTTTGTTGTCTCTTACTGGCTGTGCCCAGGGGACCAGCTTTACACTCTTAAGCTGCATTCGTAAGTTGGCACTATCACTAACTGTCTCGCCACCTGCTGTAAGGAGGGATTGAAACCGTACCTGTCAGAAGCAGCCCACAGTACCTGGCACAGGCTAGGCACCAATAAGTGAAGGTAGTGAGAGCCTGGGTTGTTCTGTGTTCTGTGTGGTACTTAGTCCCTCTTCTCAAATAATTTGTCACACTGTACGCTGAGTCTTAAAAATTTGGAAGCTAATGCTAATTATTTTTAGTTTATTTAATGCTTAGTTTAAATAGTGTAATTAACATAAATAGTAATGCTAATAATGTAAATAGTATATTTGGAACAAAGTTTAAGTACTTTTTTTTTTTTCTACCCTGGCTTTAATTTTTAGAGCCCTTCACACCCTGTAGAGAATGAGTGTCAGGGCCAGGGTGGAATTTCAGAGACTAGTGTGAAGGTTGGACGATAATGAGCTTATGATGGACACTCAAGTTAAGGTGGTAGCAGAGGTGGTGGTGAGAATATTAAGACTGTACTCAAGGCTTGAAATTTGATAAAAATAAGTAATCTCACTTGCATCAAAAATATTCCTAAGGGAAAGTGGCATCTTTTTTTTTTTTTTTAACAACGAGTACCTGGCAGAGAATATAAAACCTAAGAGTATACTTTGGCACCACCGTCTTCATTGCTGCCAAGAGACCAACAGTCCCACACAGCATTGCTTTTGTGCTTTTGATGCTAATATCAACACAGTGACATGCTGAATTTTTAAATGTGCTGTTTCCAGTAACCATGGTCCATCCTCTCCCTCTTTGGCTATAGATCCTAATTATCTCATGGCTAACGAACGCATGAACCTAATGAATATGGCCAAGCTGAGTATCAAGGGCTTGATCGAATCTGCTCTAAACCTGGGGAGAACTCTGGACTCAGACTACGCACCTCTCCAGCAGTTCTTCGTGGTGATGGAGCACTGCCTGAAACACGGCTTGAAGGGTGAGCCAGGGCCCCAGATGCAAATGTGCACACAGCTGTATTCTGGCAATACATGCTCAAAAAAAAAAAAAAAAAAAAAAAAGTTCTTTATGGCGCCCAAGAATAAGAGATTTGAATTAATAATACTAACCTATTGGAATGCATCCTATATGGGGACAGGGGTATGGTTGAATTAAAGGACATTCAGGGCTTACAAAACACAGATCACTAAATGCTAGAGCTGGAACAGACGTCACTAGTCCAATATGGCCTTTCTGTTTGGCAGGTGGAAACAGGTGTGGAATGGGAGGTAACTTGTCCAAGGTCACACAGTGAATGGGTAGAACAAGTGCTAGAACTCAGATTCCCTGATTCTTGCTTTTGTGTTCTTCCATTTAACCGTAAGCTTTTCAGGGCCAGACCTGGTCTTACTGCTTCCTTCCCTTCTCCCTCCTCAGTATATATGAGCCTGCTTCTGGACTACATATTCTGTTCCATTGGACCATTTTCTTCACTAATGCCACGTAGCTTTAAGTACTATATTCTTAGGATGTTTTATTATATCATAGGGCTAGTTATAAATTCTTCCTGAAAGAGGAAGAACAGTCTTGGGAAGTGGGAGATTTTTTGATTGTCACAAAGTATTGTGTGTTCTGAATGCATGAATAGTTTTAGAGCTTCTGATAACCCAGGACTAGTTCCCTGAAAAAAAGGACTGAACATCTGAGAGAGAAGTGTATGTATGTGTTGGTGTGTTGAGGGAATGTTTATGCTGTAAAGAATATTAAAACACTATTCTGTTTTTATCACCTTAGCTAAGAAAACTTTTCTTGGACAAAATAAATCCTTCTGGGGGCCTCTAGAATTGGTAGAAAAGCTCGTTCCAGAAGCTGCCGAGATAACAGCAAGTGTTAAAGATCTTCCAGGACTTAAGTAAGTTTAGGGTTGAATTCTCTTAGGGAAATATTATTAATATTAACTATCTCCTTGAAGACAAAAGATAACAATGACCATAATAATTTATTTCCTAACAATCCAAAAAGCATACTCTTATTTATGAACAGGCGCTGTTGCCAGAGAACTGCTTATATAAAATATTAAGAGAATTATGCCTGTGAGAGATAATTATTATGAATTTAAAAGAGGTTCATATTCATGTTAAGAGACGAAACATTGTCTTATTTTTTTCACTTGTGGGATCAGAATGTCAAGAAATTCGATCTAAGGAGAGAGAATGCTAGACATGACTAAGAAAAAGAATGTGTTCAATGCTGTTTGAGAGTCCAGATTAAAACAGTTGTCAAGTGAACCTCAGGATCTGACGCGGGGACTCAGAACTCAAAAAAGAGTAGTAACCCTCTTCCCAAAGTAGACTGCTCTAACTTTGATCAGATGGAGCCCTCAATGGCCTGTGTCCACATTACTAGTATTTGGGTGCTTACATGATCCACCCTAAGTTTATAGGATTAACCAGTGTTCATGTGCCAGGACATTTCAGTTGGGTGTCCCAGAGGTTTTGCCTTCAAACTGCAGTCTCAGTCAATAATTAATTCTTCAGAAGGCGAATTGCTAACACACCACCAGTCCCACTAGCGCCCTCATCCCAGCCAACCCCCAGAGTTCCTCGCATGGGAATGTCATGAAGGAGGTTGTAAGGAGCACCTCCCTGTGCATGTTATACTGGGCACTATGAGCAAGAGAAAGTGAGTCTGTCCCACGATGGCCCCTATCTCTGCTACTTTTAGTTCTTTGGTTCCTGTGTTTCTGTAGGACACCAGTAGGCAGAGGAAGAGCCTGGCTTCGTTTGGCATTGATGCAAAAGAAACTCTCAGAATATATGAAAGCTTTGATCAATAAGAAGGAACTTCTCAGGTATGAACATCTTGTTAAACTTTGTTCTTTTCTTGCTATGTTCCTATCGTATAAGGTTGAATCGTATATAAATTTGAAATTGCTACAGATCAGCGTGGCAGGATACAAAATCAATGCCCAGAAATCAATGGCATTCCTATACACTAACAATGAGACTGAAGAAAGAGAAATTAAGGAGTCAATCCCATTTACAATTGCACCCAAAAGCATAAGATACCTAGGAATAAACCTAACCAAAGAGGTAAAGGATCTATACCCTAAAAACTATAGAACACTTCTGAAAGAAATTGAGGAAGACACAAAGAGATGGAAAAATATTCCATGCTCATGGATTGGCAGAATTAATATTGTGAAAATGTCAATGCTACCCAGGGCAATTTACACGTTCAATGCAATCCCTATCAAAATACCATGGACTTTTTTCAGAGACTTAGAACAAATTATTTTAAGATTTGTGTGGAATCAGAAAAGACCCCGAATAGCCAGGGGAATTTTAAAAAAGAAAACCATAGCTGGGGGCATCACAATGCCAGATTTCAGGTTGTACTACAAAGCTGTGGTCATCAAGACAGTGTGGTACTGGCACAAAAACAGACACATAGACCAATGGAACAGAATAGAGAATCCAGAAATGGACCCTGAACTTTATGGTCAACTAATATTCGACAAAGGAGGAAAGATGATCCACTGGAAGAAAGACAGTCTCTTCAATAAATGGTGCTGGGAAAATTGGACATCCACATGCAGAAGAATGAAACTAGACCACTCTCTTGCACCATACACAAAGATAAACTCAAAATGGATGAAAGATTTAAATGTGAGACAAGACTCCATCAAAATCCTAGAGGAGAACACAGGCAACACCCTTTTTGAACTTGGCCACAGTAACTTCTTGCAAGATACAGCCACGAAAACAAAAGAAACAAAAGCAAAAATGAACTATTGGGACTTCATCAAGATAAGAAGCTTTTGCACAGCAAAGGATACAGTCAACAAAACTCAAAGACAACCTACAGAATGGGAGAAGATATTTGCAAATAACATATCAGATAAAGGGCTAGTTTCCAAAATCTATAAAGAACTTATTAAACTCAACACCAAAGAAACAAACAATCCAATCATGAAATGGGCAAAAGACATGAAGAGAAATCTCACAGAGGAAGACATAGACATGGCCAACATGCACATGAGAAAATGCTCTGCATCACTTGCCATCAGGGAAATACAAATCAAAACCACAATGAGATACCACCTCACACCAGTGAGAATGGGGAAAATTAATAAGGCAGGAAACAACAAATGTTGGAGAGGATGTGGAGAAAAGGGAACCCTCTTACACTGTTGGTGGGAATGTGACTGGTGCAGCCACTCTGGAAAACTGTGTGGAGGTTCCTCAAAGAATTAAAAATAGACCTGCCCTACGACCCAGCAATTGCACTGTTAGGGATTTACCCCGAAGATTCAGATGCAATGAAACGCCGGGGCACCTGCACCCCGATGTTTCTAGCAGCCATGTCCACAATAGCCAAACTGTGGAAGGAGCCTCGGTGCCCATTGAAAGATGAATGGATAAAGAAGATGTGGTTTATGTACACAATGGAATATTACTCAGCCATTAGAAACGACAAATACCCACCATTTGCTTCAACGTGGATGGAACTGGAGGGTATTATGCTGAGTGAAGTAAGTCAATCGGAGAAGGACAAACAGTGTATGTTCTCACTCATTTGGGGAATATGAATAATAGTGAAGGGGAATATAAGAGAACGGAGAAGAAATGTGTGGGAGATATCAGAAAGGGACATAGAACATAAAGACTTCTAACTCTGGGAAATGAACTAGGGGTGGTGGAAGGGGAGGAGGGTTGGGGTGGGGGTGAATGGGTGACGGGCACGGAGGGGGACACTTGACGGGATGAGCACTGGGTGTTATTCTGTATGTTGGTAAATTGAACACCAATAAAAATTAATTTATAAAAAAAAAAAAAAAAAGAAATTGCTACAGATCAAAAACAGTTGGTTCATGGCAATTTCATGTAGTTCAACTAATATCTTCTCCCACACCTCATCAAGAATAGATGTTTGTTACATATGTTCAGTCTGTCACTGTGGCATATATACAGGACAGGCCAAAATGTTATCCCCCCCAAAAAACAAGAAAGGCTTTTGACACCTTAGCATGTACCCACATTCAGTAAGACAGGAAGTTGACATATAACATTAAATTTTAAAATAGCATACACAAATTTCCAGATGGATTATAGATACAAATGGGAAAAAGAAAACAGTAAAACTTTTAGAAGAAAATATAAGGTAGACAAAAATTTCTTGAACAAGACATAAAAAGTTCTACCTTTAAAGTAAAAAAAATGGATACATTGGTCTACATTAAAATGAAGAACTTGGGATCCCTCCGTGGCGCAGCAGTTTAGCGCCTGCCTTTGGCCCAGGGCGCGATCCTGGAGACCCGGGATCGAATCCCACTTCGGGCTCCCGGTGCATGGAGCCTGCTTCTCCCTCTGCCTGTGTCTCTGCCTCTCTCTCTCTCTCTCTCTGTGATGACTATCATAAATAAATAAATAAATTAAATAATAAATAAATAAATAAATAAATAAATAATAAATAAATAACTTCATTCATCAAAAGACACAAGATTAAAAGGCAACCCATGGAGTGAAAGGAGATATTTGTAATATTCAACAAATTCATATTCAGGGTATGTGAAGAACTTCTTCAGGCCAGTAAGAAAAAGACAGATGAGTAAATGTAAGAGTAGATAAAAGATTTGAACAGGCATTTCACAAGAGAAAATCAAAATGGCTAGTAAACATAAAAAGGAGGGTAGCTGGCTGGTTCAGTCAGCAGAGCATGCAACTCTTGATCTCCCAGTCATGAGTTCAGCCCCACATTAGGTGTTTTACTTTAAAAATTGATAAGAGGAGCGCCTGGGTGGCTCAGTTGATTAAGTGTCAGACTGTTGGTTTCAGCTCAGGTGGTGGTCTCAGGGTCAGGGGATGAAGCCCTGCCTCAGGTTCCGTGCTCAGCAGGGAGTCTGCTTGAGGATTTCTCTCCCTTTCCCTCTGCCTCTCTCTCCACCTGCATGCACACACCCTGTCTCTCTCAAATAAATAAATAAGTCTTTTATATGTAAAGATACACACAAGTTCACTAGCTATCATGTAATTGCAAATTAAAATAACTGTGGTATCAGGACACACCTACCTATAAATAAAGCAGATCTCTGAGGCAAATTCTGAAAAACAAAATAATTTTTTAAAGACCCATTAAAGATCGAAAAATTATGCCTTGCATCTTAAATACAAATATATGGGGAAAGCATCGGTAATCATTTCAGTGAAAATCTCATTCTGATCACTTTTCTTTCAGCTGGAAAGCTAGAGTCTAGTCATGTACCTGTTATCTAAAACAAACTATCCAAGCCCATACTTTTTTTTTTTTTTAACTTTTTTACTGTTATCATAGTATCCATATTTAACTATGAGGCCAGAATTTTCTGCTTGTCTCAAGATTACATCATTGGATTCTTGAGGTTTTATTATTGGTATTCCATGGATTTCTCTTACAGTGAATTCTATGAACCCAATGCCCTCATGATGGAAGAAGAAGGAGCCATAATTGCTGGTCTCTTGGTGGGTCTGAATGTCATTGATGCCAATTTTTGTATGAAAGGAGAAGACTTGGACTCTCAGGTATGCAAAAGATGCTCAGTTACCAAGTGTGTAACTCTGAGTTCTGCTATCTCAGAATTTGGATTGATCAGATTATACCAACCAAATTAAGGGAAATTCTGTGAGTCACTAGTAGGATTTTTAAAACTTTTGATGTAAATGTAAACAACTGGTTTTTCCTTCGAAGTTGACTCACTTATGTATTATGAAAGTTTTACAGAATTATTGTCTTGACGTGGTCCCTGTTTAAAATATTTTGTACAGACTAAAATACCTTCCCCCTGACCCCCCGCCCACACACACACAAGCTAAAATATATATACAAGCATGGTAGTTACAAATACAGACTGAAGGGACGCCTGGGAGGCTCAGTGGTTGAGTGTCTCTGCCTTTGGCTCAGGGCGTGATCCCAGGGTCCTGAGATCAAGTCCCTGCATCAGGCTCCTTGCGGGGAGCCTGGTTCTCCCTCTGCCTGTGTCTCTGCCTCTCTCTGTGTGTCTCTCATGAATAAATAAAATCTTAAAAAAAAAAATAAAGACTGAAGCCACTCTTTAGGTTCAGATTCTCCTTCTTTATTTTCTTGCTGAATTAATTTTGTCATTAGTTTTTTGATGCTTCACACTTCTTAGCTATAATACAGGGACAAAAAAAAAAGGAGTATCTCTATTTCATAGAATTATGGTGTGGAATATAAAAAGTACATGTGATGTACCTGGTACAGAGCCTGGCACATATTAATTGCTCAATAGGTAAAGTCATTTTCACTCTCTTTCTCACCCCTTCTCTATGAAATACTACAGCAAATTTCTGTTACTTTTTCTCTGAGAAAATGGAAAAGGAAGTATATTTTAACCTGGATTTTAAAAAAGAAATAAGTTGAATGATAATACAACAGTCCTGAAAAATTTAGATACAGTACCTCAGTGAAAATTTGGAAGAATAATTACAAAATGTTACAGTGGTCCTGTCTGAGTGTTGGGACAATGGGTGTTTTGTATTACTTCCTTTTACTTACCTGTATTTTCTGAAACTTCTTCAAGGAGATGTGCTTTCTTTCTGTATTTAGAATTTTTAAAATATTATTCCTAAAAGTGAATAGGGGTTCAGTAGAAGAATGCTTGAGAAAAACAAAAGAGAAAGAAACTTTAAGCCTTAAATTTATAATAAGCATTCTGTGGACTTTCTTGGAGTCTTGTGTTGACTTTCATGACCTGGTCTTCGGGTCCTATTGCCTTAATCTCGATTCATTACTTACTTTCACCCCTTTTCAAGTTCTTGATTATAAGAAAATAAAACATTAAATTTTCATCAAAAATTTCAAATAATTGTGATTCCTGGGCTCAGTAGTTGAATATCTGCCTTTGGCTCGGGGCCTGATTCTGGAGTTCTGGATTGAGTCCTGCATCAGGCTCCCAGTGGGGAGCCTGCTTCTCCCTATGCCTCTGTCTCTGCCTCTCTGTGTCTCTCATGAGTAAATAAATAAAATCTTTTTTTTTAATTAAAAATAATAAAAATAGGGGGATCCCTGGGTGGCTCAGCGGTTTAGCGCCTGCCTTTGGCCCAGGGCGCAATCCTGGAGTCCCAGGATCGAGTCCCACATTGGGCTCCCAGCATGGAGCCTGCTTCTCCCTCCTCCGGTGTCTCTGCCTCTCTCTCTCTCTCTATGTCTATCATAAATAAATAAATAAATCTTAAAAATAAATAAATAAATAAATAAATAAATAAATAAATAAATAAATAAATAAATAAATAAAAATAAATTTCAGATAACTGCCATGACTTTATTACTGTTTTGAGTGCCCAGAAAGAGACATTGTATTATGCCTTGGAAAAAGTATCTGATTTTATATTAAATTCTGAAAATTCTCTCTGTAGGTTGGAGTTATAGATTTTTCAATGTATCTCAAGGATGGGAACAGCAGTAAAGGTAGTGAAGGGTATGTATGGGAAAATTAAGTTTCTTTTTTCTTTAATTTTCTTTGATAGCATTTAAAGTTTATAACAGTAGTGCTTTAACAGAATTGCTGAAAGAATTTATGATAATGTAGTTTTAATAGTCTTGCCAAAAAGATCTGGCAGTTGTGCCTGTTAAGCCCTAAAAGAGGTTTTATAGTTAAGTGATTTTCGTACTGTGAGGTTTAAGGGCTTACAAAATGAAAGGGTTTATAAAGGAATTCGGTGTTCCATCTTTTGAAGTAGTGTTTGAAAACATGGTCCTTTTAATCCAGGAGGATTGCATTTTCAGTTTTCTTATAATTTAAAATATTAAACATGTACTGTGGACTTATGTAAAATGTTGACATTAAGGGTAATGGAGTGAAGAGTCTCTGGGAGCTCTGTACTAGTGTTTCAACTCTTGTAAATCTAAAGTTATTTCAAAAAAGTTGTTAAAATGTCCATACAGTCCTTAGAAATTAGACATCAGAATGTACCTGATACTCTTTGTAAATTTAGCAGTTCAGAGCACAATTAATCTGAAGTTCTTTACTTTGGACATTGAGCCAATACTATGTCATTTGTTCTTTAACTGTAGCAGTAGAGGTGTGTGGCCTTGATCTTACTTTATTTGAAAAGTCTGGTTCTTTAACTTGCCTGTTATAAATTAGTTGGTTCCAGAAGTGAACCTCCTGTTTCCACTCTATTTTCTCATGTAATAATAAACACTTGATCTTTATAAAAGTTTTTTATACCATTCACTTTGAAATAAAATTAGCATGGAAATAAAATTAGCAAATAAATAACATCTGGGAACAAATGTTATTATACCAAAATCAGTTTAATTCAATTCCTATGATAAATGGAAAATTGTTGTTATAAGTAGTAATGGCAAAACTAAAAAGTGTCTCATTTGTGACAAGAAAATTTTTATTTTTTAAATGCCTCTGATAGATTATAATGTTACACCCTTAACCTAAGTTATTAAGGTATGTAAGCTATAACAAATGCTTTATTAATATGGGGAATTTTTTGTTTCATTTTTTAAATGTGTCTTTCTTATTGGGGGCATTATATATCAGGTCTGTCTTCTGGTTCAGTGTATGTGTGGCACAATTTTCCTTTATTATATAAAAAGGTTGAGGAAGGGGAGCTCTTGGGACTTCTAATCTTATTATTTTATTTCTATTTTAACCCCCCAACTCTGCCTTCCACCCCAGAGATGGCCAGATTACTGCAATTCTGGATCAGAAGAACTATGTAGAAGAACTCAACAGACATCTAAAGTAAAGAATAAATACTTTTTACTTTACTGGGGATTTTGTTGTGAAGGAAAGGAAGAATAAACTCATGAGCCATGAGGATTAAATTCAGGCAGTCGATACTCAACAAAAATACATAGAATTCCTGCCTGCCAGGCACTGAGCTAGGCACTAAATAAATGTCATTTAACAATTTGGGCACTTTTAGTGAAAGGCAGTATAAGATTAGTATGTAATTAATAACTAGTGATTAAATAAGTATATTCAGTTAAGAATTCTTAAACATGTGACATACACAGTTGAAAGTGGCAGCCCTCTTGGTTCATATTTTAAGACTGATCTTGGGCAAACCACTCATTGCCTTAGTACCTTTAGATGAATTGTATCATGTTGGTCCCTTGCATTTTTCATTTATACATTGAATTGATAATATTAACTTACCCTTTCTTCACCATCACTACCATTAATTTACCAAATACTAAGTATTTTTCAGAACTGTCCAGAACATGAAATAGTCTATCGGTATTCTCAAGTACATTGATGTTCTTGTTATGCTAAAGACTGTTGAATAATTCAGAAAAATGTATATATCCAGTAACTCTTATTTTGTTTATAATTCTCTTATAAAGATAATTTAAGTAAGAACTATAATATGAGTATACTGGTAGCAGTATAGATTTTGAGTAGTCTTGGTTTCAGCTAGAAAATCCAAGAATAATTTAAGTATATTTTCTTTGGAGACAAAGAACTAATAATGACTACAGTGAATTATGGAGATGTTAGTCAAGTAAAAGTACACTTACATTGTTACTATTTTCATGTCTTAGTTTCTTTATCTGTATTTGGGGATACATAACACATAGGGTTGTTGAAAAGAATAAATGAAATAATGCAAATAAAATAATTTAGAAAAGTTTTTAGTGTATGGCAAGCACTTATTCAGATAGCTTATTATTAAATAAGTAGTCTTTAAAGTTGTGCAGTGCATCAGCTCTTTTATTTTATCCAACAAGTGCTTATTAAATATAGACTTTAGTACCAAGAGTAAAATAGGTAGGATCCGCAGCTACTGTGAACTGTCTCAGAGCCTGCAAGTCCATCATGAATTGTGGACATTTGATGATGGATAATACCTGTCATGGATGTTTACCTGGGAAGTACAGGATGTTCTGTTTTTTCAAGAGAAATCATCGTGTTTTTTCTTCTCTTGATAGTGCTACGGTAAACAATCTTCAGGCAAAAGTGGATGCATTAGAAAAATCCAACACTAAACTGACAGAGGAGGTAAGTGTTTTGGAAATTCTTTGACATACAACTTAATAATGTGCATTAGTGGAAGCATATCTCTTGATACTCATCATTTGTTCATTCAGTAAACATTTGAGTACTGCTTTTGTCCCAGAACTAGACAAAGATTTATGTGTGCATTGACTTATGTGTGCCAGATAAGCAAGCTCCCACACTCATGGGCCTTATTTTCTCCTTGACCCCAAGGAGATAGTGTAGATAACTTAGTACTGGTCAGGAGGCCGGCAGTCCCTGCTTGCCTGTCATGCTGCTTACAAGTCATGTGCTTCTGAGCACATAACTCACTTGACCTCCCAAGAGGCCCAGTTCCCCTCCTGGCAGATGAGGATGTTTATACTTCTCCTTTCAGCCTCATAGTTACTCTGAAGATCACAGAAGAATATATATGTGAAAACCCTTAGAAAATCCCCCAAAGTAAGAATAAAAATTAACCTCATGTTTTGCTTCTGATTAATAAGGAAATATTTTAACTCGTCAGTGGCAAAACTACAAATTTTTTTCTTCAATAGCATTAGAGGTTTCTATGAAAAATCTTAAATTTTCCAGGTGGCAAAGACTTTATCTTAACTATATCTTACCTATCTTACTGATTTCTTATTATAGGAAATATCAGTATATCCTCTTATATACCATGGCATAAAGTTGGTTTATATAAAACCAAATTCAAGCAGCAGTCAGGAGGATGCTGTTTAAAGAGTTTTCTTCAGAACATTTCCATTGTTACAACTTTAAAACACCTTCCTTATTACTCAGCTCTGTGGACCTCACTTTTCAATATAAATTCTTAAATTATATTAAAACTTAATGGAAATGATCCTTAGAATTTCACCCTACAAAGCTTTTGAAATAATCTGATTAGACATTTCATACTGTGATTCTGCTGTTAGTTACTCTATTGAGGCAATATGGCCCAGCAGTGAAGCATGGTCTCTAGAGCGAGGCTCCTTGGGTTCATGTCCCACCCAGCTCTGGCACTTGCTAACTTTCTAATCCTGGCCAATAACTTAAGCCTCTATTTCTTGGTCTTCTCTGTAAAATGGGAATGATAAAATAATAGTAACATTTTGTGTGAATTAAATGATAATACATAAAGACTCAGGCCAGTGCTTGATATACCATAAGCAGCCAGTAAATATAGTCATTAATTTTATTCCCTCAGTCACAAGACTTTTCCTCCTGACCTAGACTTATTTTATTAGCAATATTAATTTATTCATTCATGTACTTATTTTGCCAGTAACATTTATTTCCTTTAAACTTTGAATTTTTAGAGACAGGTAAGCCCTGTGCATAGGCTTTATAAAGAACAGATAAGGCAGATCAGATCTATCTTTTCCCATTTCCATCCATTTTGGATTTAAGAGGGCCAGTAAAAAACAAAAACCCTCCTTTCCTCTCCTGAGTTCTGAACTGGTGTGATAAAATGAGTAGAATTAAATAGATGAAGATAGATAAATATCCACTTTATTATTGGTAAAGCTGAATTAGAAGCCCCACTTGGATGTACAGCCATAATTTCCTAATACTCTCTCTGATGTTAAGGTCTTGGGAGAACCTCTTTGAAGATACCTCTGGATCTAGGAAGCAGGCCCACTTGTCCAGAGTTAACTTTTTTTTATGTCTTGTTAGGCCCATGGAGCAGAGAGGTAGATATGGGCTTCCAGACCTGCCTCTGGGAAGCATGCATGAGCCCTGGCTCCTCTGCACTTACGCACTTAGAACAGGAACCAAAGAGAACCTGTGCCCACTGCTAGTGAGGAGATCATGTAAAGGGACACTAGCCTGGCCAAGAGGAGCCTACTGAGTGCCTTTCCTGTGCTCACTCAGGCTCTTCCATCTTCTCTGTGGGGAATCAAGTTCAGCAGGTGCGGAAGAGGAACAAATGTTTCCATTTTACTTTTCCATCCTGTGGAACGCAGATATAAATGTTTCCCCTGAGCAGTGTACTGTTAATAATACTGTTAATAACATTAACTTGCCTTTCTAGGTGCTGAAATGACTTTGTTCAATTTCAGGACTTAATGGCATCTTTTAGAGTGAGAACTTTGGAGTTCCATTTTTTCACTTTTAAAAATCATCTACGAAAAATCTTACGTAGGGTTTGTAAGATGAGTTTCAAGGCCTGAGGTGACCCCTTTATTAAACATTTTAGAAATAGGTATTGTAACTAAATAGAAGTTACCCATGAGAACACTTTTGAGGTAAACAATCTTTAAGTTAACATTTTGGTGCTGAAAAGAGTTTACACAAAAAGCAGCAATAGGAGATATTTTTTATTTTTATATACCTAGTTTAAAAATACATTTCCTGATATATTTTTATGTGGTTGGTTAAAGATAACCTTCTCTCCTTCTAAGAATATTCAAGCCTGAAAATCATGTCCTACCAGCGGATCATGAATTATCTTACCCTATGTTTAAAAAGAAAGATAAAAGATTATTTTTTAAATTTGTTTTTCAACAGCTTGCAGTTGCAAACAACCGGATTATTACCTTACAAGAAGAAATGGAACGAGTTAAAGAGGAAAGTTCCTACATATTGGAATCCAATCGGAAGGTTAACCTTACTGGTTTTATAAGATATTCCCAGAGAGTGTGTTAATGTGTGAGCAGGGGGAGGGGAGCCTCTACTCTAGAGGACTGTTTGAAAGCAGCAAGCACTTGCACACATCAAGCGCACTGTTTTTACTGAGACTCCGTGCAGAATCGGGTAATGATGGAGGTTATGCAGGCATGAGGCCGCCTGCAGATGCGCTTTGGCTTCACCACCACCTCTATCTATTGAGAGATTTCAAGAACTGGTCTCACTCAATTTCTTACTGTTATATACTAATGATTTGTACTATATTTAAGTGTTAAATTTATTATATTAAATATACCACTGTTTTCAGACCATGTTACTGCTTTGTAAGAAGTGTTTATCTGGTACCAGTGGAAGTTACCACGTAAATGAGTTTTCTAGATGACTTAATCTCTTAAAGTATCAAACTTGTTGTATATGTCTACACAGATTTTTTGCAAACCTTTTATGTACTACACAGTCTTAGGCAGCCTTAGGTAGAGTATATAATTCAACACATCATTAGCCCATTATGATGACTGAAGATCCTAATTATCAATATCGACAATTCTATACTAACTTATGACGCTGCTGGAATTGATAGAGCTTCTAGCACCTATACTTAAATGTTTCCAGATTGCTCTGGGTGCTTTATCTCTGCTTTAATGATCTCACTGGCATCTCTTGTTTCTCACTGCTATTTGTATTGGGGTCTCCCCACTCCTTTTTATCTGCATGCTTCTAACCTTCTGTGACCTAGGAATCCAAATTTATCCATAGTTATTAAAGTTGTTCCTAAAGAGTAAGCAGCAAGGGCAGCCCCGGTGGCGCAGCGGTTTAGCGCCACCTGCAGCCTGGGGTGTGATCCTGGAGACCCGGGATCAAGTCCCGTGTCAGGCTCCCTGCATGGAGCCTGCTTCTCCCTCTGCCTGTGTCTCCGCCTCTCTCTCTCTCTCTCTGATGAATGAATGAATGAATGAATGAATGAATAAAGAGTAAGCAGTGAGGCTCTGAGTGGGGACTAAGCGAGGCTCTGAGTGGGGACTAAAGTAGTTTTCTATGAGTAATGTGTTTAATGTGTGGACTCTGTGAAAACTACTGTGACTGCTCAGAAGAATTTTCTGGTGACCTACTTATTTCAAGCAGTGATCTCTCTGGGTGGCTGAAGACTCCAAATGTGAGATCTATGGAGAAGGAATAGACTACTGTTTGAACCTTTGGCCTAATTCTATTTTACAGTGAATGCTACTTTGTTTTTAGAAGATGACTTTTAAGACTTCTTCCACTTGATTTGGTAACCTGTCTTAGGCCTTTAAACAAAATGGCAAGAAACCCAATTCTGCTGAGAATTTTTTATTTACTAAGCTGCTTCAGTTTCTTTGTTGTCTTTATTCATTGTTATACCTGTTTAATTAAATATAATCATTTTCCCTTACTAAACAGCAGTGCTATGTATAGATTTTTTTTTTAAAGCCTTAAATATATGTACTATTTTATTTTTCTTTTTAAGGGTCCTAAGCAGGACAGAACTTCAGAAGGGCAAGCACTGAGTGAAGCCAGAAAGCATTTAAAGGAGGAGACACAATTGCGACTGGTAACTTCACTTATGTTCTGTAGTTCAGGAACCCATTAAACATAAAGGCCCACTTAGAGGTTTGATCTTACAGACCAGGCTCAGGAAAATTAGTAGTGGTTCAGCAGATTTTTTTTTAGATCTAAGAAACTGTTTCTCACTCTTCCTTTTTTAAATTTTGAGTATATTTATTATGAATATAATTAGCCATAAAGACAAACTTTCATATGGTTGATTTTTACCTTCACTGGACATTACTTGCATAAAACATCCTTAATCAAGGACCTTCCTCCATAGGAAAGGCTAGCAGCTTATTGATTAATACAGTGGATTTTGCATATTGGAAAACTGTAGAAAGTTTTTAATTATGTGATTCAACTAAAATGGGATCTAGGAAGCCCTCTTAGCTAAGTCTTATTAGCGTGGATTTTTTTCCATATCATAATATTTGCTAAAGAGATTGTTGTGCATACAGAGGCCTTCTGTAACTCTTACAATGATAACTTTAGTTGCTTCTAAGACTTCTTCTTTTTTCTTTTTTTAGTTAATTTTCTTTATTTGAGTATTGTTCAGACACAGTGTTACATTAGTTTTAGGTGTATGTTTCTCACTCCTTTTAACCCATATCCCCTAAAATGCTTTCCCAGTCCATTTTCTGAGTATTCTCAATAGCCAACAGGATTTTGCTAATTTTTTTTTTCTTTTATAGTTTGTGTTACAAGAACATTAGGTGTATGGAACCTACTCTTTTAAACTTTATGATCCTCACTCCTACTCCAGTCCTTACTCTGCAAAGATTGTGATGTGTCTCTTTGGAGGGGGGTGTGTGTGTGTAAATGTATAATAATAATATTCCTGTGATAGATTTTATCCAAGTTTTCGTATTCCGATACATCCCTGGTGTTTGGTAAATTAACTCCTCCTGCAATTTTGATGGTATGACAAACAAAAGAATCTCCCACAACCAATAGTGTCTCTGAAAACAGGGAGAAGCCTGAATATAAAGGTGATTTAGTTAATACTAAAAATGATCACCAAGTAAGTCTCCAGAATAGAATTTCAGATGTTCTGAGAAAGCGGCAATATAATTTTAACGTCCTTGAAATAATTATCATTTTTCTCCTATGTGTTTATGGATTAGATCTCAAAATACTTTCTATAAGATCCTAGAAATAATACATGTCTGCATTTTAAGAAGCAGTATCATTAAATCATGCTACCTGTACACAGAGGAATACCTCAATTAAGTGACACATGGGACTTAAAAATCTTACACAAAATTTTCCACAGCCTTTTGTCACAATAAGGTACATGGTTGTTCAGAAGGGAAGGAAGCCAAGCAAGTAGGTCCTAGATAAGCCCTAGACGTAGCATGGATACAGAAGAACCTCAGATCTTTGTATCTTTGATCATCCAAATAATGTTGCATTAATAATAGTTGAACCAAAAAGTGGTTTCATGTTAAGTTAATATAAAAATTCAGTTAGCCATATCGATCATTCCCACTTACTGAGCTGTTTACACTGGGGACCCAGAGTATCTTTTGGGTTCCTTGGGCTCTTGAATATGTCAACAACATCCAAATTGAAGAGACTTGCAAGTGCTTCATTTTATGCTGGCTACTGTAGTACTTTATATACATTCTATAATAAGACATGACACCAGTTGTCTTACTATAATGAAGTGCCTCAAATGTGTGTGTATTTTAGACATATTAAACAGGACTGTCTCTGGCCTACTAAGTTTTTCAGGTTTGTAAATTATTGAGTAAATATTTTTATATTTTTATAATTATCCTAATTACTATTCTTGTTTATATCCTTGCATTGAATGATAGCTTGTACCTATTTTGCCAAAATATTCAGTCCTGAGAGTTTGGAATTTACACCTTTTCCCTTGGAATTTCATAGTTTGTACTTAGTTGAGGAAAGAGAATAAGCAATTTATTTACTTTTGGGGGCAGGATGTTGAAAAAGAACTGGAGATCCAGATCAGCATGAGACAGGAGATGGAATTGGCTATGAAGATGCTGGAGAAGGATGTCTGTGAGAAGCAGGACGCCCTGGTGTCTCTGCGACAGCAGCTGGATGATCTCAGGGCTCTCAAGCATGAACTTGCCTTTAAACTGCAGGTAGGGGCAATAAGGAATAGGCTCACTAGCTCTAAACTCCCAGGGTTCCCTCTGCCCCTCTTGTTCTCTAGAATCACACTTTACATACTAGAGGGAAAAGTCACATCTCATTTTGAGGCGAGCTGCCTACAAACCACTTTAGAAGTCAGACCATCATAGGATTCTGTGTTGCTGTTCTGGAAAGCTATGGCTACTTTTCAAATTTTAGTGGGAAAAGAGGTCTTTCTTATCCTATAAGATCATTTCTATACTTTAGCCTAATCTGCCAACTGAGTTATATATTCCATTAGCTTTTTTTTCATTCTTTATTTAAATTCAGTTTTTAACACCTACTGTATTATTAGTTTCAGGGGTAGACTTTGGTGATTTATCACTTGTATATAACACCCAGTGCTCGTTCCATCAGGTGCCCTCTTGAAAGCCCATCACCCAGTTATCTGATCCCCCATTCACCTCCCCTCCAGCAACCCTGAGCTTGTTTCCTAGAGTCTACCATCTCTTAATGGTTGCTTCCATTTTCCTCTTATTTTATTTCTCCTTCCCTTCTCCAATGTTCATCTGTTTTGTTTCTTAAATTCCACATAAGTGAAATCATATGGTATGTGTCTTTCTCTGACTGACTTGTTTTGCTGAGCAATATTCCATTAGTTCTTATACTGAAATATAAATTGATGAGCCTTCTGATGTTCAGTTTTGTGACAAAGCTGCATATAGCAATACTAGTTTTGAAGGTTGCTTTTTATTTTTTCTCCATTTGGGAATTAACTGATACACAAATATGTGAGCATTTCTATTTCTCAATTTCCCACTTACCATTAGGTTCAACAGGCATGTGTGATTTATTTCAGGATTTTATGTTCTGTGTACATCACTCATACTTCTTTCCCATAACAGAGTTCAGACTTAGGAGTAAAACAGAAAAGTGAATTAAACAGTCGTTTGGAAGAGAAGACTAATCAGATGGCTGCTACCATCAAACAACTCGAACAAAGGTAAAAGTGCTATTTCTTTAGTGAAACATTTTGGGCTTTCACTACACGGTAGGAGGGAAGAGAATGTGTTTATGCATTTGGCAAACAAAGTGTATTAAATTCTCCCAACTTAACACCAGACATGCTGGTAGAGAGCCAGTTAAATTTTGTGTTTCTCTAAGATGTCACTGAAAACATAATTTTAAGAAACATCAGCCTCTTGAGAGGCTGTTATCAACAGCAGAACAAGAACACTCTGACATAATCCCATTTCAGTATCATGTTGAGGGAGGGATATAGATACAAGGATGAAAGCACTTTTAAATATGTTTGCAGTTTTTTTATTCTTCATCACTAAAGTCTTGGAATGCACTCATGCTCATGATGCCAGGATCCTGAAGGCCCTTCTCATACTTTAACTCTTTTCTCTCCTCCTTCCCGTCTCCCTTGTCTCTCTTCTTTCTCCTGAGCACTTCTGTCGTGTCCACTGTCACCCCAGCCCACCATCTTAGATCTGTCTCCAGCTCTGTCCCTCTCTGGAAACCAGTCTTGAGTTTTCATCAGCTTTGACCAGCTTTTCCCGATGGGTACCTACAATTCAGTCTGCCTGAAACACATTCCTTCTCTGTGCTGCTTTTGTTTCTCTATATGACTGAAACCACCATTTTCTTCCTGGTGACTCAGCTGCCAGGAGAAATGGCTGAGATTTCAAGATTGAAGGAGCCCCGGCACCTACGGTCATTCTGTGTTAACAGTCTGCGTTGTGACCTTTAACACCCACTGATGACCCTTCTTTTGTTTGAGCCAAACTACCCGTGCTTGCACTTTCCCCTTCCATTGCCGGCCCTGATATTTCCACCAGTTAGAAAGGCCCTTGCTCTTCCCACTTCTTCATTCTTTAGATCCATTTTTGACACTCAGGCTCAAATGCCACCACCTCTCCAAAGCTTCCTCTGTGGCTGCTGCTCAGCTAACAATCATATACCCATTTGTCCTGGTTGGAATTCCTGCAGCCATCTGTACCTGTTCATATGCTTTCTCGTCACTTTCTGCCTCATGTTATAGCCCTTTACATATGTATCTTCTGATGCGAGTGTGAGTTCCTCAAGTCAGTTAATGAGTTTTTAAGTTCCCTTGTTGGATCCTAATGCCATGAACATACAGGGCGTTCACTTAGCAGATGCATGAATGAACAGATGAATGGATGTCTTTTATTCAGATAAGTCTTGACCAGGGAGGGTCCTGAATGACACTGCACATTAATGGTGACTCACAAGTTAATTCCAAATAAGTAAATACGTTTGAAACTTCTGGTTTGGCCAACTTTACGTAAAAAGGAATCAGTCTATCTAGAAAGCTCTCTAAGTGCTTGCTCATAAGCAGTTGTATGTTTATGATTTTAACAAATTAATTTTGGTGTTCATAAATTGTGTTTCTGAAATGTGTAGAATCATTTTTCAGTGGTTTTTTTGACTTGGCATTTGAAGTAGACAGAACTAAAATAATGACTGACTTCAAATTTTAAGCTGACTTAATCTCTTGCTATTTTTGTCTTTCCCGTTTATTCATTTTTCTCATTCCCCTTTCACTCCATTTTATTTTTATTTTACTAATTTAGTGAAAAGGATTTGGTGAAACAGGCAAAGACCTTAAATAGTGCAGCAAATAAACTGATCCCAAAACATCATTAGGCATTTTGCAGTTGGTCACCTCTCAAGTCTGAAGTACAACTTAATTGTAAAGAAAGAAATCTGAAAGTTATTACATTTAAGTTCTGATTCTATATAAAATGTCACCAAAAATTGACTCTGAATTTGTTGGTTTTAAAAAAAAAAATTTGATATATAGGCCGTGGGTTTTTTTCTTCTTTATTTTCTCCTCAGAGTTAGAACATTTAGTATAGGTTCTTAATTAATTGCCAAATAAACTTTGAGAAATTACATCTGAGTTGACCAATAAATAAACACACCATTAAAAAAAAAAAAAAACACCTAGGGATTGGACCCTGTGTGCATATATTATTGATGCCTTTACAACTCAGCCCCAGACAATATCAGATTCTAGGTGCGCTGTCTGTACCAGTGAGCCTGCTGTGCCACTGCGATGTGGTGAACTGGAGGTGACAGCCGTATGGGCTTGAACTCTTCTAAAGTAGCTCTGTCTCCTAGGCCATGGCCCCTTCCCACTTTCCTTGTGTAGGTTTACCCCCCAAGCCACGGATAAGTACTTAGTATTTCACTACAGTTCTGTTCTCAGTAACTAAGATTGCTTGCAACTTTTTTGCCTTAGTGACTTTTGGGGGGAAAACCCGCATCCTTACATTTCTTTAAAGTACATAGAGATAAAGTTAGTGATTTAGGTAACTTATGATAACATAATAATGTGGAAGCTTGGAAAACCCTCCTAATATTTGTCATCTTCTACCTCTGCCATTTTCCTGCAATTCCACTTCCTATTTAGGTAGCTCAGAGAAAATAATTTTAATGAAAAAAACTCATCTCCTATAAAAAAACAAACAAACCGCACAACACTACACAATTTTCAAATCTATCCTGCTTTTCCTTTTGGAGTAAAGACAACAAGGTATAGACATGGGTGATGGTTTTCCACCGTCATTTCTTGCTAGAAACATTTCCTCCAGACTTTCTATTACTCTCTGTTCCGAAGGGAGATTTGCTAACATCTCCGGGAAACTAACAATCTAATTATTAGAGAACCATTTCAGCGTAGGAAATACATGATAAACTCTTTATTATTATTTAGTCTAAAAATAAAAATTCCCAGTAGATATCCATACACAGTAATTAGCAGGGCTTCTTTTTCTAAGTGACCACAGATCTACCCCTTTCTAGGCTTTACATTGTAAATAATCCTATAAATACTTGGATTTTTTTTAATGACTTTTGATTTGGGGGAACAAGCTTTACATAAGCCTTCATTCCTTCAAAAAGTTTTGACAAAAATTTTCTCACTTTGATATGATTTGCAGCATTTCAGCTGCTTAGGTGGGAACAAAGATAACCCCCCTTTGCTTCTAGCTTTTGAAACTCTTTACCTTCTTGGAAAAAAACAGAATTAAGAGAGTAAGACAGATTTCATGTGTGCTTCTGTAGATCCTTACAGACTTGAACCAAAGTCAAGTCAAAGAGCATATGACCAACCTCATGGAATAACCTGTGCTCTTGAACTTATTTTAGTTGTTATAATTTTGCACCTGTTCGTACTTCATCAACCTTTTGTGGTGATGAATTGCCTTTTCTATGAGCATTTGGGAAGAGTGCTCAAACACTAAAGCATTTCAAAGACTGCAGATAGCATGCTTTCCAATTCTATTCTATAGAGCCCCAGATGTTTCACCTTTTAGAACATGCTTCTTTAGAGGTGCAAAGTTATGGGATATATAGAAGAAAATATTCATTAGAATTTTCCAGAGAATATGATCAGGACTCTTATATAGACCCGGTGCGAAGTTGTTTGTCCACTTAGTCACACACCACCTGGTAGGAATGGAAAAGGAAAGAGATGGCCAAACTCTGACAGAGGCTTTTCCTTTTAGAAGAACTCAAAGCCTAGGTAAGGGTTAATGTATAATGTCAGTGATTTAATATAATTGTGATATAGGGAAGGGACCAGGAAAATGTTCTAATTTCACATATAAGAAGGTAGTTGCCCGTTTGCAAGTTCCAGTTGTGTGTGTAAAGCAGAAATATAAGGTACCAAACCTATTAGGAAATAAACACAAAAAAAGTGGATTTGACTTTAATTACTGTGTACTTGAGGTTGGTTTTGGATATGGATTTTCTAAAAAGTGATGTTTTATTGTTTATCATCTAATGGCTGTAAACTGTAGTACTAGAATAAAAAAAAAATGGAAAATCAACTTTTCCTCTGCCTGGTTCACCTTCATCTTGCTTTTCTTTTAGAATTTTTTTCTCCATCTCCCCACCCCACCCCACCCCACCCCACTCCTGTATAATTTCTTCCCCTGTGTCCTACAAAGCTTTTTTCCCCTCTGTCTCTCCATGCCCTCTTCCTTGGGTTGCTTTATTTTGTGTTGTAAACTTGGTCTTCCTCCCCACCATGGCTTTTGTTTTTTATCACGAGTTCATATGGCTCACATCCAGATTGCGCCAGGCTGAGCGGGGCCGCCAGTCTGCCGAGTTGGACAACCGGCTCTTCAAGCAGGACTTTGGAGACAAGATAAACAGTCTGCAGCTGGAAGTGGAGGAGCTCACAAGGCAGCGGTGAAGAGAGGGCGGCAGGACCTGCAAGGGTGGTCGTGGGTAATGCTAAGGCTAGCAGTGAGAGAAGGGGGGTCCCATGATCCAGCCCTCTCCGTTCTGTCTCTGCGATGTCCTTTCTCTGGAATTAGCATCCAGGAAGCTTCACATATATCAGCATTCCCAAATCATGTCAACATGCTTTGCGATCAAAGAATTAGGAAGGTAGAACCTCAAGTCCCAGACAAATAGAAAGGGATAAGAGAATTAGTAGCCAACCTAACACTAATAACAGTATTCCCTACATTTTTACTGTGTGCCAGAAACCTTACAAATTACTACGTAGGCATTTTGTCCTAATACTTCCCATCAATCCTGTTAGTAGGTCACCGTATTACCCATTTTCAGATGAAATTAAAGCTTATATGGGTTCATTTGTCCAGATCGACACAGTTCAGCTAGTAAGTGGCAGCACTTTAAAAGTCTTTCTCTGATTCCCAAGTCCTTAGCCACTCTTCCATATATTGTCTGTCAAATGAGACTCAATTCTTTGCCAAAGCCACTGACTTCAAATAAAGAAAAATTTGTTGTTCCATATAAAAGCACGTGGCTAGTAAGGACACTGGTGGCTAACAGTATAACTGGGCATTGAGGGATCCCTGGGTGGCTCAGCAGTTTGGCGCCTGCCTTTGGCCCAGGGTGCGATCCTGGAGTCCTGGGATCGAGTCCCGCGTCGGGCTCCCGGCATGAAGCCTGCTTCTCTTTCTGCTTGTGTCTCTGCCTCTCTCTCTCTCTCTCTCTCTCTCTCTCTCTCTCTCTCTCATGAATAAATGAATAAACCTTTAAAAAAAATAACTGGGCATTGAACATTAAAGAGAGACCAGCTAATTAAGATGAAATGGGACTACAGTGTTGGTGCTTTCATACTGTTTTCTAGTTGACATTTTGTAAATACTGTCTTGTAATTATAGTAAATCCTACTAAATGTCATTCAGTTGACTACAACTCTTTATTAAGAGTTAATATTAAATACTGATATTCAGAGTGGTGACCCATAGGCACTGGGAGATCTTAAAGCACATTCTTTTTTTTTCTTTTTTTTTTTAACATTTTATTTATTTATTGAGAGAGTGAGCACAAGCAAGAGGAGTGGCAGGCAGAGGGAGAGGGAGCAGACTCCCCGCTAAGCCCCAACCTGGGGCTGGATCCCATGACTCTGAATTCGTGACCTGAGCCAAAGGCAGACACTTAACCAACTGAGCCACCCCTCAAAGTACATTCTTTTTTTTTTTTTTTTTTTTTTTTTTTTTTTTTTATGATAGTCACAGAGAGAGAGAAAAGCAGAGACACAGGCAGAGGGAGAAGCAGGCTCCATGCACCGGGAGCCCGATGTGGGATTCGATCCCAGGTCTCCAGGATCGCGCCCTGGGCCAAAGGCAGGCGCCAAACCGCTGCACCACCCAGGGATCCCTCAAAGTACATTCTTAATTATCCAAGAAAAATCAAACATATTGTCTATATTTTAGTGTTAGTGGTTTTATTGTAGTGTGTTTTAGCACCTTAAAACTTGATTGTTCATATATATCTGGTAACTTTTTATTAATCAAGTATTAAAATTGAATTGCTGAGCTCTAAGAAAGGGGTTTGGCATTCTTTAGAGAATGTATGTGCAGAAATCCAAATTTTGATCCTTTTCCTTTCCTGCCCATCCCAGGCACCAGCTTGAGTTAGAACTAAAACAGGAAAGAGAAAGAAGGTTACAAAACAACAGGAGCATCCCAGGAAAGGGTTCTCAGAGGCCAGAACCCAAAACGGTAATATTTGTTATTACCTTGTTCATTTATTTTTAGAAGCTACCGTGACGAGCCAGACAGTATGCAGATGGCAGACAAAACCCAGAGTGAACACAAGGCCTTGATTCTCATGCTACCTCTAGATACTCTCTTTAACTTGATTTCACTTGGAAAAGATGATTCATAAACATGATTTTCAGTGACCCTCTTAGCCCTTTCACTTTAGGTTATTTTTGGTATCTTAATAGAAACTTGTGTTCCTTGGACTTCTGTAATATCTTTAATAATATGTTATAGTAATCCTTCCCAACCCTGATTTCCATTTAACAGAATTGTCTTAAATGTTGATTTGCTTCCATATGCCTTTTTCAGAATCATGAGGATTTCAGTTTTGGTAATACTCAAGGTACTTCTCTTGGGAAAACTAGAAGTAGAGTTGCTTGGGAAAAAGAAAGTAATACAGACCCCTTAAAGTGCAACAGTAGAAGTTTATACAGAACAGTCTTAAGAGAGAAACCCCCAGCTTATGCTGAGGAAGCGAAAATTGAGTGAGACCATCTCTGGGACCCAGGAAACAGGAGCCAGCCTCTTCAAATAATAAAATGAAAAAAGTATGGAATACCTTTTCTGTCAAAGACAAACAAACCCAGAGGAAAAAGTAGCTTCTTTGTTTATATTATATATAGCAAAGCAGGACAAATTTATAAGCAAGAAATTAAAATATCTAGAGAAAGAGATGCTAATTTGCTGGAGAATAGCAAATAGTCAACAGAAATTTATTATATAGTAGTCATTATTTATTATATAGTAGTCATTATTACTAATCTGAAGTGTGCAAATACTACTCTTTTTGTAGCATGGCACCTTTATTAGTTTAGTTTAGCAAACAAAATCTAATTAGATTTACTTAAATTCTTGGCCTGTCTTACCGTGCTTTTTCCAGTGAGGCCTTAAATTTCTCAATCTTGAATTGCTCTGCAGTAGGGGTTCCAGGAGTGTAAATGTTGACTTCACCTCCTTTCCTTGATACTTGAGTGGTCTGAGAACATGCATTCTATTTTCGGAGGCTGATAGATAGCAGCTCAAGGCAGACAGCAGTGTGTGTGTGCCACAGAAAGAATTTGTCACTAAAGTTGCCCAGGCAGGGTTTACAAGCATTGGTAAAAAAGCAGTTTAGAACTTTACATTGGTCCTTCAGAATAGAAAACTCCTCAAGCTGTGTAAGTTGTCACGGCATCATGGCAGTGGCTTGACTGAGTGTCCAGAGGATTGCAGTCGGCTAGTGCTTGGTTTTACCAGTTTTCTAGAGCTCAGCTGGGAGTGGGGGGGTGGAGACAAATACAGATATATAGAAGTAACTAAGATACCCTAAGAAGTAACTGGTACCTTGAGCTCACTTTGTAAATAATTAAGATATATTCTGAATTTTATTTAAAATATATTCTGAATTTTATTTGAATTACAAGAGTTAAGGAAAATACCTACTCTGAAAATCATTAGTTGTAAACTCAATCAGAATAATTAGTAAAGAAACGACTTACAGCAAAGAAAGAGGAAAAATATCTTGAAAGTTTAATTCCTTCCCTAAGAAAAAAGCTGCTTAGTTTTATACCTAGGCTAAAACAGTACAGGAAAAATAAATCTGCATCATCGTTTAGCATTCTGAATAATTAATAAATTGGGCTGTTTTCTTTTGGCAGGATGGGAAGCACAAAACTCAAGAGGAAAATGTTAAACTAAAAAAGCCCCTGGACGAAAGCCACAGGTGTTTGTTAATAAAGTACTAAGATAGAACATTATTTTGGGATGGCGGGAAAGAGGGGGCTTTTGATATATATTGGCAATGGCACAGAACAGACACTGACCTGTAATATCAACACTCCAGAAAGACCTTTTGACAGGGGAGTGAATAAATCAACCGGAGAACACACATGAAACCAACCCATTTAGTACATTTCAGAAGAAGCATAGGATCCCTTCAAGGAAGTTGACTTTTAACAAAGCAAAATATTACATAGTACCACTGCATTAAAAAATGAAGGAGGTCCAACTGTATAACATTCTGGAAGAGCCAAAATTACGGAGGCAGTGGTCGCCAGGGGTATGTGTGGATGAGCACAGAGGATTTTTTTGACAGTGAAAATACTGATACGGTACTATTATAATGATAGGTAAATGGTCTACATTTGTCCAAACCCCTAGAATGTACAATACCAAGAGTGAACCCTAATGCAAACTGCAGACTTGAGAAGTTAATGATGTGTTAATGTGGGTTCATCGATGATTATAACACCAGAGTTTACCCCTTTGCTGTGGAATGTTGATATTGGGGGGAGGGCAGGCAAAGTATATGGGGAATGTCAGGACCTACTTTCTGTTCAGTTTTGCGGTGAACCTAAAACTGCTCCAAAAATCAGTCTATCCTAGCAACAGCAGCAACAGCAAAGGACTCATGATACAGGTACTTGGCCTCCAAAGCCAGAATGATTCCAAAGCCTTGACATTTACTCCCTAAGAGAGCACGGCCTTATCCAGGACTAACCTTAAACTACCCTACAGGTCAGGGGGTGCATAAAAAGGAGCCAGAAAGGCTGTAAAATTAATGAGGGCTTAATAGAGCTTGGAGAACCGGCCCCATTCCAGACTGAAGCCTGGTCACTTACCAACAACGAGGAGTACTTTGGGTGCCAGCCTCTGATTTAGGCCCGGGGAAGGCGAGACCACACACTACCTATGTCTCGTTGTGCGGCTAAGAAGTGTGTTTCGCATTCATGATCTTAAAAGTGTCATTCTCCTTGGAAAAATTGAATCATCTATTTCTCCCTTAGAGATGAGAAAACTGAGGAGCACAGAGAGGCGAGGTGGCACACCTAAGTGGTCCCTGCTTCTCAGGTCTTCTTTGTTGACATCCTTGGTCTCTGTTCTCCATGTTCTCCAGAATAGCTGCTTCTGGAGCCTGTCTTGGCCGGAACAGCAATCCTTAACCATACCCATGGGATTATGGCCCAGGGAACAGCTTGAAAACCTAGTCACTCCAGTGGTCACGCTGCCACTCAGTGAAAGAGAATCTGAGCCCCTGTTGATCTGTGGTATATTATCCCCAGG